TCTCTTACGACTGATCTTGGGACAAACGGCTTTTGCGGCAGCGCTTGTACCGATGATGGCCTAGCGCTTGCAAAGCTTCCGTAAAGTCCAGATATCAGGTAGTAGAACACAAGAGGATACGTAAGCACCGACCCACTTTCATCTACCATCAGGGTGCCTTTTCTCTTCTCTGAATCTTATAGTAATTTTCGCACCCATACACGTTCCGACGATGTTTACAGGCAATAAGTGCAAGATGGCGTTAGGTGCCGTGGTTGGAGTGGACCTTAGTTATACGCGGCTTGCAGACGGTTGTCTCCCATTATCTATTCTAGTAAATAAAACCATCTCAGTTTTATTTGAGTTGAGGGCGAGACCATTTAAAACTGCCCAATTTATTACGATGCTGAGATACCCCTACGCCAACTTGTAAACTGTACTGAGGAATTTTTTTTTTGACCATAACGAACGTCCATCAATCTCACTCACTGCGGAAGTTTCAGCTGGGCTGGCAACCAAACGCGAGCCATAGGGTGAAGAAAAAATTATTTACATTTGGTAATCAAAGAAAGCAAATCAAATACTGCTTGCGTAGTTATATGAGAAGCTTACATTGGGTCATTAAAAGGCGAGGTCAAAGAGAAGCGCTTAAGCTATCAAGAAATTAAGAATTAAGAATTTATTTATAAAATAAAAGGATATTTTTGAAATATAACGAATTTCTCCAGTAAGTTTTCACGGTTTGGACACAAAGGAAAGTCTCATCGCCATTCAACATGCGTGACGAATCTTCTCAAATATCCTCTTTATTGTACTTTTCAGGAAATAAAGCACCTCGGAAAACCACTTTCTAAATAATTCGGTGGTAACTGTAGCTCTGCCTTTATTAATGGATTCAGTTTCTCTTAATCGACATAGTAAGATAAAATGGAGCCATGTGCAGAAGTTCACGCAAATGAGGAAAGCGAATAATCTCTCCCCACGACTGTGCGTTGGGTTGACATCCGCCTCGTAAAAAATGCCTCCAATTAAAAGATCAAAGGTCTCGGATGAGAGACCCTCCCTTTTGGTGATGACCCCTGCAAACCTGTTAAGGATTACAAATTAAGGGGTCTAGCCACAATCCGCATCAAAGTGAAGTTCTTCAAAACATCGCTGAGTTGCGCCCACGCTCCGGCGGAAGAGAAGGACGATGTGACTAAAGATGCCTTCTATGAGCGTTTGGGGCTGGCCACGCCACGATGTCAAAATCGTACTTGCCGACCTTAACGCCAGGGAAAGCAAAGAAGGTATCTTTGACGGACAAGGGTCGGTAATTTCAGTATCCACAATGACACATTCTCAAGGGTTGAGGCTGATCGACTTCGCCGGGGTCTGAAATATAGTTATCTGTAGTACTAGAATCCAGCATATTAAAGTTCATTAAGCTACTTGGCTGTCTCCACCAATCCACCAACCAGATCATTCATGTTGTAATTGACCAAAAAAAAGCGTCTCTAGTGTCTTGATTCGGACCACTATACTGTTGCAGCCAAGTTGCGACCTCGCCTCTGTGCAGCAAAAAAGGCACATCAAAAAATGCAAGGAAGATTCAATGTCGACAAGCTTTTTGAATTTTTTTGTCAAATTTGATTGGGAACTCAATTTGAACCAAAATTTCTTTCATAAAATCAGTTACGCAATTATGAGAAAATTATTCTTATCATAGAGTTATAAATCGATTGCAGCTTCAAATGAGAATTTTCTAAGCATGACCAGTATTAACGGTTTTCTTAATTTAAATGCAAAACGTGAATAGGGTTCGATCACTGGCACCCTTACCCTATAATTTAAAGATAAACCAAATGTACATACATATGTATGACGCTTTTCGCATATGCAACTTAAAGCAGAAAATGTAAAATAACTGAAATAGAATTTAAAACAATTATTCTACGGTCTCTGTTCAAATATAACGGAACGAAAACGGTTCAATTCCGTGGAGCTGAAAGACGTTATCAAATCCCTTTTGGTAACTTCTTTCTTTTCGCTATGTGGCAACTACGAAATGTGTTTGTTTTTGTGATTCTCTTTTCCACTTTTTCCACACGTGTTTTGACAGACAATGTAATTTGTAATCTACACTCCTTGGTTCTGAATGGGAAGGTGTACAACAGAACTTTAAATAAAATGGAATTATTTACAATAAATCGGTTAGTTTTCCTTTGATTGCTATGTAATCATTTAACAACAAGTATACTTTTGCAGATACACGGCTTCGAAACCAGAAGAAGTGGCTAAAAATGAGGAGGATATTCTGCAGCAAATTCTTCAAAAGGTGGAAAATCGTAAAAGAAAAAAGAGCACTGTTGAATTGCTTGATCTGGAAGCTACGCAAGAAAAAAAGAAAACTTTAGTTAAAGATGTTATTAGTAAAGACGAATCTAAATCACAGACTAAAGACACTAAAACGGTGGAAGAAAGCGATGCTGATAGTGATAGAGATATTGATCCCATTGCCGAAGTGACTCGCAATTTTGATGCAACTCATTTTCAAGTGCTGGTCGAAGATGTGGACGAAAGCAAACCCAAAAAAGTCAGTATGGTGTTACCTTCATGGCTGGCGCATCCAACTATTATTTCAACAACAATTGCACCAAAAAGTGAGGCAGTGTCTGACGAATCAGCTGTTATTAAGCTTACCTATTTGGCACCACATATACGTCACTCGCTCAAAGAAATGCAATTCACGCGACTATTTCCAGTGCAAGCAGCAGTGATACCTTGGTTGCTTGAGGCTCAAGCGAAACCACCACCATTCCGAGCGCGTGATATATGCGTTTCGGCACCTACGGGCAGTGGTAAAACACTCGCTTTTGCCATACCAGTTGTTCAATTACTTGCTAATCGTGTTGAGCGCAAGATACGTGCATTGGTTGTGCTACCAGTGGCTGAGTTGGCATTGCAAGTGTTTAAAGTTTTCAAAAAGTTATGTGAAAAAACAGATCTTACCGTTTGTCTTTTATCCAAAAAGTTTCCATTTGCTCAGGAGCAAGAAAAATTAGTAGAGTTCTACAAGGGACACTACTACTCCAAAGTCGATATTGTAGTGACAACACCTGGTCGATTGGTCGACCATTTGCATGCGACCAAAGGATTTTGTTTAAAAGCTTTGCGTTTTCTTGTTATTGACGAAGCCGATCGAATAATGGACGCAGTTTTTCAAAATTGGCTTTACCATTTGGATGAACATGTGCGCACTACTTCTGATCAACTACTCTCAGGACGAGCAGCTCCACTTTGTATTCGCGAATTGGAGTCTTCGTATGGTATACAGCCGCATAAATTGCTATTTTCAGCGACGCTTTCACAAGACCCGGAAAAACTACAGAATTTACGATTATTCCAGCCTAAACTGTTTACATCCGTACTAGCTAATTTATCAGAGATGCAAGAAAAGTTCGCTGATGCAACTAACAGCGAGGAGCAAAAGAGTGAACAATTGAAACGCGGGGAATTTATAGGCAAATACACAACGCCAGCTGAGCTGTCCGAGTGTTATTGCATCACTGAAAATCGCATTAAACCACTATCGCTTTTTGCTTTGATTAACGAAAATGAATGGACCAAATTTTTGTGCTTCACAAATAGTGCCGAATCGTCGAGCCGGTAAATACTTTAAATCATCTTTTGTAATGAATAGAAGGATAATTGACAGATTTTTCGTTTTCTTAGGTTATCATTCGTTTTGAAATCGCTATTTAAAGATGAGTTGGTTATACGTGAACTCAGTGCATCCATTACCCCGAAAGAACGCGCAAATGTATTGAGTCAATTTGCACGTGGACGTGTCCATGGGTAAATATTATTAAAATCATTTGATTCAACACAAGTGCAGAAATACATATTTTTTTATAGTTTGGTATGTTCAGATGCATTAGCACGTGGTATAGACATACCCGATGTGGACGTCGTCATTTCTTACGACCTACCTAGACACGTTAAAACTTACATACATCGTATTGGACGCACAGCGCGTGCAGGCAGTCCGGGCACGGCAATAACTATGCTAACACAGAAGGAACTGCAACAATTCAATGTAATTAATTTGTTATTAATTGGGACTTCTTTTGTAGAATGTATACATTTTTTGTCTAAATAATAACTTTACATTACAGCATATCCTCGGAGAGGTAGGGAAAACTCTAACCAAGGAAATTTCGGTGAAGACCAACTATGAGGCGGAATACGCCAAACAATACACATTGGCACTTCAAGATTTGCGCAAGAAAATTGAACAAGACAAACGCTTACAATTAATGAGAAAGGAACGCGTCAAGGATAACGCCAAATTGGCGGCTAAAGATCCTTCAAAGATGTCCGTTATGGAGAAATTACAACTGCAGGCTTCAACACAAGTGGGTGATATGGAACAAGGCAGGAAAGAAAATCAAATTCAAGAAAATAATGTCAAGAATAAGTTGGTTAAGCGTAAGAAATTCAATGCAAGCGCAGGCAAAACTAAAGAAATAAAAAAATAATGTGCTCAACTATATTCATGATGTGGCTCTCAGTTGTATTTATTCTTGGCCCAAGGCACAATAGGTATAAGTGTCGTTTCGTTTTAATTTCCCAAAATTCTTTCCATAAAGAGGTAGTCAATATTTAAGATATGTTCCTAACTGTAAAAAATTAAAAAATAATGTTATCGAAGCTGCACACAAGCTGTTGTCCATTCGCAGTTGATAGTCGTTATCAAAATGAGGTCTTCAAATAAAACTAATGTTTGTAAGTTTCTGTTCAAGCAGTTTATTCCAGTTTTACATTTTATTAAAAAAAAGTACCACACTGCAAAATTTCGATAAGACATACTATAAGTTTGTTTTTTCTAATTTTAATTGATTTCGTTGCAATTTTTTCAAAAAATTATGCTTCTAATATTCCATTTTCAGATATATAATGGATTTCTAGTACTTATCTAATTTACTCTGCGAATATAATTTTACAACTAAAAACTTAAGAAAACAAATTATAAATTTTCGTATAGAAGTTACAAGTCATTTTATTGTAGTGAAAAAAAAAAACAAACGAATTGCATTTTCGTTTTATTAAAAATGGATTGAGTACGCAATTTATAATAATAGTTGTTTGTTATGATAATTATTTATTCAATTGCTGTGTAATACATACTAAAAGTAATAATGAATATTAAAATAAAATTAAAGTTTTGCGCGCTGGCAATGCCTAACTTTCAAACAAACTTATAGAGGATTAACGCTAAAACACAGCAAAGTTTTAGACAAACACTAAAACCAATATTCAATTGACTGTGTAGCAGAGCTGCAATGCCCACTGTGTGGGTAATGTGGGAGGTGGGGGTAAGTGTTGTTGGTCAAACCAACTAAAATTAAACATAAATAAATATGGGAACACATTGGGAGATCTAGAAGCCTAACACTGCAGTTGTGATTGACCTTTGTGGATTTAAAATTGAATGATAAACATGTAAGGTGAAGTATATGCCAGCTATTAAAAAACAAAAAATATTTCATTTGTTGTAATGTTTCCTCAGGTTCCTTTTAGGAGCGGGGAACGTTTTCGTATGCTTCTTTTGTTTTGTAACAACTTGACACAGAGTTTATATCACAGCCTTTTTATATTCACTTGGAGATTAAAAGACCACCTTCGTTGAGGTGGAGAAAATGAAGCGTATGCACACATATAAACGCGATTTTGTTTTGGAACATTTTGGCGCGTTAGAAATTGTACGCCGCGAAAATACAATTTTTAATGAAATTGTTTTTTATTTTATTTGAGGAAGTTTGGAGATGAAAGTTGTATGTGGGAAGCTTCTCCATGTGTATATCTTAAATATACAAATCTACATTTAAATCTAAGGCATTTCAGTTTTTCTGTTTTTTTTTTTTTCTATAAGGACCAGTTCGGAGTATCTTTCAACAAAATAAAAGTGTAATTTATGTATTATTTTTTGTGTCTTAGTTGCCTTATTCGGACGTTTAACGATCGAGTATAAAAGTATATGTATTGACTGAATTTTACAATATTTCATTGTTATTACATGTTTTTTTTTTCAATATTCATTAAACTATATATAATAAATTACCGCCTTTGACAGTAGGATACTAAGAATTTCATCAAAAAATATTTCTAAGTTGAATTCGCTTGCTTCAAGTAATTAGAAAATATATGGAATTAATCATATTTAAATTATGTTAATTTTTCGAAACGTGCAAAAAAAATTAATATTTAATTACAAAAATACTTAAGTTTGAACAGGGACTGATACGCAAATATGTTTTACAATTCTTTTTCGTTATTTATATTTTTCAAAAAGAAATGTTTAATTGATTTTTATTGAATCGGCTAATTCACAGAAATATTTCTGTGCAAAAAAAAAAAATTAAAAGTTAATTAAAGTTAATATTACTTTTAAACAACAATTTTAAATTTAATGGTAAATATTCGTTTTTCAGTTCAGTCCCTGATTAAAAATTAGCTTTAGCTGCGATTGAGCAGCAAGTAGCATTATTTCATTGTTTTGAAAATGCGCACAGTCTTAGTCTTTTTTTATCCTTTGAAACACCCCAATAAGGAAAATAGCATGAACAAATTAGTAATGAATGAGAGATTTCAAATTTAGCATTATTTTCGTTTGATTTGCGAGGGGTGTCCGTATGCGTTTTTGAGAACTACTCTTACTCTGTTAATTGCAATGGAGTAAATACTCATTTACCGTACAATATAAATTCAAATAATTACAAAATTAGCTGAAATACATGAAATTTGTGTCCACTTGCTATTCATATTGGCATGTTTCTTCCAATCTTGCCATTTACAGCGTTTGCAAGAAAGCAACAATTTCTGGGTTCGAATTGGCCACAGCAGTGAATTTGTCCGGATAATTTTCACGAATTTCTTGCAGTAGACCCAACGCGGTGTCATATGTCTCCCTCTCTGTGTATTCCTTTTTGTATAGCACGTGTATGGCAATGGCTATAACCTGCTCCAATGAAGCTGCGATCGCATCTCGTGCTTGCAGATATAGCTGCTTCAAGCACTTGAAGATTGAAGCGTTTTCATCGAAATCTTCGCGTAAAGGCAAATGCTGCATGAATACTGGCAACACCTGTGGCAGCGGCACCAAAGAACTGTTGCTAATGATCAGGCGTGCAATAGCACCACAAATATTGTCCAAAGCACTGGGTTTGGTTTCCTTGGAAACAGCCTGGGAGAGGGCATTTAGAATGTGTGGATAAGCTCTGCAAACAACAAAGTACGATTAAAAAAGCGTACAAGTAAAATTAAGAACAGACTTACTCATATGATTTATCTCCAGAGTATAGCACTAATTCACCCAGACCGTATACGGCGTTTTGGCGAGCTTGATCGAATTCGTCAGAGAGACCAGCGATCATTACGGGACAGAATGTGTTGAAAAATGCGCCGGTGTGATTTCCGAGTGGTGCAAAGCATTCAGCTAAAGCGCCATAGGCGAAAGCGCGTTGTGATTCAAGGTCCTCATTTTTCTTCGCCTTTTGCTGTAATTGTTCTCATACGTAAAATATACATGAAAAATTACATATCTTTCTTTACTCACCAATTTTTGCAAAACAATTGGATAAGTGCGCTCAAAGTATGGTCTAAACTGATCCGGTCCCATGGCTGCGCCCAACAATGGCAGCATATTGCCAGCACCCTCTACAATGGCCTCGTCGTATTCGCTCTCCTCAGCATCTTCATCATCATCGCCAGTAGACTCGTCAAATTGACAAGCAACCTTGCCTTGTAGCACGTCGGTTATGCAAGAGAAGACGACATCACGAAGTTCGACCGTTGGCAAAGAGATTTGTTTCAACTCTTTCAAAAGATCACCCAAACCTTCAAGTGCAGACAGCACAACAGAAACTTCTTCATCATCATGCACAATTTGACCCAACTTAGGTATCAAGATTGTAATGGCATTGGAAACGCCTTGCAAATCTTGCTGTTTGTACAGAGCTACAATGAACGAACTCAATGCGTCAATTGATACTTTACGTATGTCCTCCTGTGGATGATCGATCATCTTGTAAACATTTTGATAAGATTTCTCCAAGTAAGGGATGAAAGCGGCGCCGGTATGCTCGGCAAATTCTTTCAATGCCAAAATGGCCTCCTCTTTTTCATCTAAATATGAGTTTTCCACACTGTATCCCGCAATATTATCCAAATCATCATCCTCCCCATCAGAGTTTTCAATATCGATATCATCTTCGTTCTCATCAGCCTCCTCGGCTGGCGCTGGTACACCGTCATCGTCTTTGAATTCCGGAACGACCTCCTCCGTCGATAGTATAGATTCAAACATGCGTTCAATTACCTTCGGGAAAACGGAGGCCATCTCCTCATTTACCACCTCAGCCAATGAGGCAATTAAATTGTAAAGAGCACGACGTACATCAGGATCCTCAGCCTTTTCAAGTAAATTTAAAGCGAACGTCATGGTATCAGTGGCCAATGGCATGAAGTTCTGCTTGCCGATGGTGCGTGCCAAGGCAGCTAGAGTGTCGATGGCTTGTGGACGCAGACTGATAATGTCCTCGTTTTCTGTTGGAGCCAAATATGATTGCAGTATGGTGATCAAGCGTGGGAAATAGGGCAACATATTCTCATTTGTGGCATTTGCGGCAGCTGAAATAGCACTTAAAGCCAATTCGCGCACACGAACCGAGTTGTTAGGATTCAGAGCTTCGAATAAACTGCAAGAAAGGAAATTTAATATTAATTTTCTCAGCTCTATTTATTAGTTATAAATGATTATTTACATTTCCATAAGCACCGGCAAATGTGGCACCAATTCGTCTTCCAAATTCTCGCAAAACGTTTCTAGTGCATAGAACATACGATCAATGTGTTTGGGTTCAGTACCGCCGCTCTGAGAAAAAGAAGGAATATATGATGTTTCATTAGTCACTGCATTATAATTTGGATTTATTTGATAATTGCTGGGTAAAGTGCGAAATAAAAATCAATTCAAAAAACTACTTGTTCGCTACAGTGCATGAAAAAAAATAATAACTAGCATAATTAGCACAAATTTCACTACATAATTAGTTAAAACCGATTTTCGCTTGATTTGCAGCTGATTCATATAAAGTATTGTATCAGTTTTAGGCGGCCATGGCTCGGTGACTACATCGTTCGGCCAGGATGCCTTTGGGTAAGCGTTAGTGGAAAGGAAAAAAACACAAAGAGAGCCAAAAATGTACAAAATTACCAAAAAAGCAGTATTAACGCAATTTGATTTTTCAATGTGTACATAGGCAATTGAATAAATAGCTTCAGTTCGGTAAGAAGAGTAAATACACGCTTTTCGATTCGTTAACTTACTCGCAATTCGTTGCAGAGCTGGTGCAAAAATTCAAAGAGTATTGGTAGAATTTGAGGCGCGAATTTTGTGATGTCTGGTTGCAAATGTTCCGAGAATTGTCCCAGCGCAAAGAAGGCGGCATTGCGTACAAGTGGTATTGGGTCGGTGATGCCAACTTTTACAATATTTAACATGGTTTCGAGATATTTGTTGCAAATAGCCTCCGAGCATCCTTCGGCTATAACAGCCATGCTTAAGTAAGCAGCGCGACGTGGCAGTGGGTCCTGACCCTGCAAGGCGGGCTCCAAAAGTTGCAACAATGGTGGAATCAATTTCTCTGGTGGCACGCTCAGTGCAAGCAGATCCATTGTTTGGGTAGCCGTGGTCATCGGGTTCGAGTTGTCTTCACCCAAAAAGTATTCCTCATCATCTAAAATATAATACAATAAAATTTTATGGAAATATATATAATATACAAGACAAATTGCACCAACATCAAACGTTAAAATATGAACTGTAAAAACTGAGAGCACTCACCATCTTCGTCTTCTGGTTCAGTTGCCATTAAATTGAAAACTACTCGAATTATGGGCTCTATCAACTTTTGTTTGATAATCAATTTCTTCTTAAGGCGCACCAACCAGCCAACGTAAGCCACGGCTTTAATGCGCACAGCGCTATCAAGTTGGGCATTACTAGCTGCCTCCAAGCAGAACTCCAACAACATTTTGATGTGATTGTTCAGCAATTTAGCATTCAAATCGGCCATACTCTCGAGAATATCAAAAGCATGAACAAATTGATCGACTTCAGGCTGCACAGCGAATGCTTGGAGGGATTTAACGATCAACGGTATGGATTTCTGCAACGTTTGTTCAGCTGTGTTGTGACCCAATGTGAACGGCACCAAATAAGTCATACCAGTTAGAATGTTGAAAATAACAGGCGTAGCCATGTTGCCAGTTGCTTCGGTGGCCACCAAAGCAGCAGTGAACATTTCACAAACCGATTCCATATGTTGCAAAAATTGATCCGGTGCCGCGTCAGCCAAAATAGCAAATGTAGACGAGCCTAGCTCGCTCTGCTTAGGATCGGCCGAAGAGCAGTAGCTGTAGATGAACTTTAACACTTCGCTCATCCATGAGTCGGACTTTTTGGCTTCGTGACGCACCAAAACACCAACAAATTGAGCAATGGCTTTACGCACAGACTTTTGCTGCTCTTGCATCAGGGCATTAAGCATGCCTTGCTTAATACTACATAGAAAAAAAATAGGTTGCATTTAAGCACGTTCTTAAATAATCTACGTATATTACACTTACATTTGCTGTTGCTCAACCGGTACTTTGTTCCATTGCCGCAATTTTGCCAAGTGCTTCTTAAGTAGTACAGCAGAATATTGACGCACCTGTGGCTCTGGTGCAGAGACGGCAATTTCACAAAGAGCTGGTACAGTCTCCGGATGCTTGTAAGCTTCCTGTAAATCAGCGGTAGCCTGTAAACAAACGTTTATTATTTAAAATAATATGAAACAATTGATATTTACATCAATAAAAAAAATAAGCACGGACATTAAAGGATTGTGTTTTAAAAAATATATCAAATTGCCAAATAAATGGTATAATGGAAACTTATTTATATTTTGTCCTAAATGGCACGTAAATGAAAAAATGTTTATTAACTTTTGAAAACAAAATCCAAGGATGAATATTCTCATGACCTAACCCATACTACATACCTACATAATAATTCGCAAATATATTTCATTTTATTATATACATGTATTTATAAATAAATATAGGTCGAAAACATTTTAAATATATGTATCTGAAAGAACTGAATAATATACACACATGCGATTGGTATAAAACGATAAACACAAATTTTAAATCATTTACAATTAATGGCAAATTTCTGCGAGTGAAGTCGAATAATATGGCAGAAAGACTCTTATTTGTGTCTTGCACGTTAAATTATTAACATACATGTATGTATATGTATTTACTCAGCTAGCGTAAATAAAAGAAACGTGGCTCTTAAAGCTATTGAAATTCCAATATGTATGACTTGCCTAAGGCATAGTATATAAACCAAAAAAATGATCACGACAAACAAGCATGTGCTCTCGAGTATTTAAATTAATTAAGGAGGCATGTATGATTATTACTCATCCCAAAGATGATAGGTAAAGCATAGAAGAAACAATTAAAAAGTGTGCATTTGTTCGTTCAGACATATTTGGAAGGAACCTAGATGTACATATATACATATGTGTATGTTTGTATGTAGCAAATTAATATGTGATGTGAGATGCGTTGTTATTTGGCCCCACCCCACACCCAACAACATTATTAAAGAATATAAGTGATGCATGCCTTTGGATAGAGACGCAACAGTTCCATTCATTTTTTTATATACAGATATATATAAATATACATATGTATACTGCTTTTGCTTAATCGAACTGATATTCGGTACTTTACAGGTATTATATATTGGACTTGGCAACTGAATGCAAAATATACACATGTATTAAAAGCAAATGCGTGAAATCAAAAATTTTAAAACCGTTTTCTCTATGTTGAGATAGCCGGCCGGCGTGACAGAAATCGGTCATATCGCACACTACACAGCAATTGAGTGGGTGGTAGCACACATTTGCTTTGAAATAGACATACTTATGTACATTATTTTACAAACCTAGCTAACACGTGTTTTACTGCAATTTAAAAGATATGCACAAATATTACATTGTTATTTACATGTTACATGCAACACATATTGTCATGCTAAAAAATTAGTTAAGTGAAATTTTAAAATTTTTTATACGAGTACTATGGAAATACATCAGTTTTAACATAAATTTTTTTTAAGCTTTCACTTTTGTTTCATTAAAAAATAGTATACGTTGCAAAAAATTAAAGTTATGTAGGTACGTTCATATGTACAACGAGAATTGAATTGAAAGCAGCAAAGATGAAATTATAGACGAGAAGAAAATTCAAATATAACATAAAGATTACAGTACGATGAAGAACATAGCAAAGCATGCGAGCTGATGATGGCGCGCATCCACGTGTTTTTGTCGTTAGAATGACTTTCCCCAGTTTACAAGTAAAGAAATTATTATTTGAATTCTTCTTTTACTTTTAATATATAACTTAATATACAATTCCAGTCACACTTAAAATATTTTGACATCTTTTGTAATTAACCTAGGATATTATTACCATTTTAAAATCTGTATTACATACCTTTTTGATCACATCGTTATCCGAAGTAAGTAAATTTGTAATAATCTGGGTCATTTGCTGCATTTTGGATTCTATAAATTGCTTTCCGTTCCCCAAAGACACTTATTCCAATAGTTTTTCGCTCTTTTCGCTAAAAAAATTACACGCTTGCAAATTTGCTTATCTTCCTTTGCGTCAATTGCTTTATGTTCCTTCGTTTTTCACACGCACATATAACCGAACTCACACGTGAATACAAAGAAATGTATCGCAATTTCTGCTTTTTGCATATAATTATTTGCAAAAAGTTATGTGAGTTGCACCAATATTCTTAGTACTACCTCACCAGGCAGATGATTTTAAAAGAATGATTGAATAAATATAGCTAAGAAGAAAATTAACTGAAAGCTTTTTCTTGTATATTGCGCAAAAAATAATTCGAATCGTGATCCGAATGTGTGACTGACTTCGCCTTGCTTTCGTTGTTCGCTGCTTTGCTGGTTTGTCTTTGATGATTCGTGTTGGAGAAGAAATATTCTGAAAAGCACTAAAATGAATTTTTGGGGATAGGAGTTGTCAATTGAATGCAACCCTTTTTTGAATTCAATTGTGAATATAAAGTTAATTTTTAACGACTTGCTCTCATTTTTCTTACTATGTGCTTAATTTTTTTGGCTGCGATTTAGATAGAGAAAGTTCTCCAGATCAAGAATATATATGCATATAGTTCCCGTTGACTTATGGTTTTTGAGATGTTTGCATTTAAAGTTAAAAAAATCAACTATTTAAAATGCGTATACTTTCATATCCACTAACGTTTCACTAATTCGTTTCTAATTATTTATTTTATATTAAATAGTTCAAAAGTCACTTATATTCCATACCAAACATTAGTTAGAAGTCATTTATTCATAAAATAAGAAAGTTTTGTAAAAAAGCAAATAATTAGTGTTACCATATTTTGTAATGGAATAAAAATAAGAAAGAAAGATTATGGCGTCATTACTATATTCATTATCGTGTGATGTAAAATATTTCAGAATTCTCATTATTTTGATAAATCCCGGTGTTGGTTCGGGCAACAAGGAGTTCAACGCAAAAAAAAACATGAAATGAAATGAATGAAACGCGGCCGAAGCCGCCTATGCAGAAATGAATCCTATGCGGAAAACTAATGTATTATTTCCTGTCATTGGTGTATTATTTGTTTTCTTTATTTCTTTTGGTTCTTCTGTAATAAAAAACGTAAGGTACCACTGATTATTAGTTAGAATGCAACCCTTTTGTTATTGTATGAACAAAAATAAATGAACTAAAGTTAAATGTTGAATAAAAGTTATTTTTGCATTTTTTAATATAAAATAAATGGTTAGAAATGAATTAGTAAAGTGTTAGTGGATATAAAAGTTAAAAATAAAAATATAAAATTCATTATAGATGGGAGAAACTCGCATTTTAAATAGATGAATTTTTGAACTTTAAATGCAAATGTTTCAAAAACCATAAATCAGCGGCAGCTTTATATATATTTTTTCTTAATCTGGAAGACCTCATATATCCACACATACCCAATTTAACCCCGAAATCGGGGGATGCTTTTCTAAAACTTACCCATTTTTTATTGTTTAAAGTTCAAGAAATATTTTCACTTTCATTTAAATTGATTACATATATTTTTTACATCGCAAATCAATTGTTACTATTTGTTTCAATGTGAACGTAGAAAATTTTATAAGGATTTAAAGTAAAATTTTAAACACAATAAAATATTAGATAAAGTTTAAATTAATTTAAAATAATTAATTAAATTATTTATTTGTATAGTCATAGAAGCATATTATAAATTATGTTGAAGAAGGTATCTTTATACTTCTTTTTTAGTAAATTGTGAATAATTTAATATCAAAGTTTAATGAAACCACATAGTGCCACAGTTTATGGCAAGTTCTTACTTCGTACTGTACAATTGTAAGTGCAACCTTGTGGATACGATGGCTCAATATCCACCATTTTAATTTTAAACCCGATTTGCGCCAACTTCATATTCTTTGCAGGCTCTCTTGAATATCCAATAAAAATATTAATGGGTTAATATAAAATCCTGCGATCAGTGCCAAGATATAGGTATATTTAAAATTAATTATTGTATTTACTAAATGATTTGAATTATAATAAGTTGTTGCCTGCTTTGGATATTAGTAAGAATAGTGTTAAGACAGTGTCCAAAAGAATTTTCTTTGTTTATTTTATTTGTTAATTTGATTGAACCTGAATTGAAAAGTGTCACCATGGATAATCGTGCACTTGAGCAAAAAAATTTAACTGATTCGCTTGGTGTTTTAAACTTGGATGGCTTAAGAGGTAAAGTATATACATATATATTATAAATAATCTCTTTGTAATTAAAATGTTTTACAGTTTTTGGCGAGATGTCCAATTCTTCAATATCAAGCAGTAAGCCTATCAATGAGCGTTTGAATGTGAGTTTGCAATCCTAATTCATATGTATATTGTAAAAAATTACAAAATTATAATTGAATTAATAGAAAGAGCGACTAAGAGCGTTAGATACATTGGAAAAAGCTAATAAGACAATGAAATCGGATGTGAATAAAATTATACAACAAAGTTTTGCTAAAAAGGATTTTAGAGATCCAGATCCCATAACAACACCGTCAGACAGCTCGCCAAGTAAACATTTTTGGACTTAATTTGCTTATATTTTTTAAAACAAATTTCTTTTAGAGTTTAATCGAACCGAATATGTACCCTATCATAGACCTGATTCCATTAATATTTCGGATTTGGTAATGGATGAGAGTATAAATTTAGATTTTAAAAGTACTGTTTCGACAAGTAACAATACAAAAGTTTCTTTTGAACCTTCCGAAATAACTGGACGATCTACACACTACAAGGACCGTAAATCACAAAAAAATCCGAAAAATAGTATGGCATCCACATCTAGTCGTCTATCCGTGGGAGATATCCTTGCTACTTCGTTTGCGCCTAAAGCACGAAATCTCGGGGAGGTATTGGGAGAACGTACATCTGTTTCAACTTTAGGTAGCCTAAGTAATTCAAGAAGTTTACTTCGGACAGCAGACTTGTCCCTGAATACTTCAGAAGCTAATTTTAGTAATAAATGTGCCGTTGTCGGAGGGCAATTTTCATTTAATGTCACAAATGAATCCACAGTCAACGCAGAAGAATTTCAACCAGCTGAGAATATGCATTCCAAATTGCTGATGGATGAAATAGCTTGGGCCCAAGAATTCGCCACAATACCCACATCTGACCTGAATAAAAAGAGCAAAGATAAGATTTTAGATGCAAAAGATTTTGATTTGCAACCAAATCCAAATAGGTAATGTTTGCTTTCCGACTTGAATTTGTAATAACCTTTTTAAATATGTATGCATATTGATATTTATATTATTTGTATTTCTAGTTCCTTATTTACTCGAGATCCAAATTTTTCAATGGGTCGATTTTTTAACCAGCGCTCAGAAGATTTGCAAAATATTGTAAAGTCATTAAGTCCAGAGCGCATGCGGCCACCAATAGCATTAGTAGATGAATCTCAAAGTTCACTTAGTTCAACTACACCTTTAGGTACAATAAAAGCATTTCAATCTAAAAATGACGTAGATCGCACCCCACAAATAGATAGCAGAACTTATAGTGTAGCTCACAAAACAAATCAGAGTACGGCAGCATGTTTGGGTAAAACTATTCGAGATGAACATGAGAGTAAAGACTCTGGAAATGGCACAAAAGAAGACGAATCCTATTTGCTCTCTCTATCTCACATTAAAAAGGCGTTTAGTAAGTATTTTCTCTTAACGCTTGGTGCTCTTATTTACCTTTGAAATATGTATTATATTTTAGTAAAAAATTCGGATAATGACATCCCATCCACTGAACTGATCGATTTATTGAAGAAACCAAAACGTCCTAAATCGCCACAAAATATTGGACAAGCGGAACTTGAACAAGGTCGTAAGCAATTGCAAACTAATACAAAGGAGGCACAAGAGATTAAGGTAGCGCATAAAAAATATACTGGAAATTCTACTGTAAGAAGTTCCATTGAGCAATACACACATAGCCTTAATACACTAGAGGAATTGTTATCGGAGAACAAAGAGAATTTGGATCCACAAAGAATGCGTGGATCTGAATCACAAGCTGATACTATAAGCTTTACAGAATCGCTGCTGGATGCCAGCGATTTAAAGGAATTGCAGCAAAGTATAAATCAGCCACGTTCCCCACTCAGTCCATTGAGTATACCAACGGTTAGACTATCATCAGATCAAACAGATGTACAAGTAAGATCCTCTAAAATATATCTTAAAACACCGGAGAGATTAGACGACAATTCTAAAATGATAGCTAATGAATCAGTGATATCGAAGGCTTCTGCTTCTAATAGTCGGGCGGCTAGTAATAAGAATAACAAATCAACTCGCCTCACACCAAACGGAAAATCTCCGTCCGCTGTAAGTCCAACATTGGCGTTAAAACAGAAGCCACTAAGCTCTACAAGGTTGGATGAACAAAAAAGCGAATGTGACTTCATAGCTATTTCACCGAATCTTTCCAAGTCTACAACGTCATCTAAGGCTATTTCCGCTGAACGCACCTTATTAGCCAACGGAAGCCCCTATAACGGCTTGAACTCCCGTGCGCCATCGCCTTCGCGCAGTTATATGTCGTCACAACCGTCGTCGCCCATTGCAGAGAATCTTAATGAGAATTATAGGGGTACTTGTGAGAATTGTTCACCTCAACTGCGAGTTAAACCCCAAACTACAACCACAGGTAGAATCCGTCGTACCACTTCATCCCCGTCCATCAGCGAGCGCAGCACTAAAAGTATTGTACCGATGCGCACTACCAGCGCACAATCCTTACGAAATGGTAGTAGCAATGGAGGCGTTGTGCGCAGTGTCTCCCGATGCTCCAGTAGCAGCGAATTCAGCCACCGTGATGGCAATGCCATACCGCTGAAGGTAACCGCGGTGGAATTGTCTTGGGGAAGTACACGCCTGAGAAACGCCGCCCATAAGACAATGCAAATAAAGAATACAGCCAGCAAAAAACTCACACTACGTATCGATGTGCACGGTCCAGGTTATCAGCTGATCAATATGCCAGGAAATAATACATTAACACTGCAGTCGCAGGAGTGTCGAACTATTGCGGTGAGCTTTTGTCCAACGGTCATTGGTGCTGCCATTGGAAAACTCTCATTTTATGCCCCACAAAACACTTCCGTTGCCCATAATAGTGCCTCCACAGCCAGCATGTCTTCATTTTTGGATATTCCCCTCTATGGCTATGGCGGTCACTGTAGTGTTGTGGCCCAAGAAGTAAACATAGCTCCTGTGGGTATGGCCTTTCTACAAATGGGCTATCTGCATGAGCTCTCGCAGCCAATACAACGCACAATACGTGTCTACAATAAAGGTCCACTTTTGGGCTTCGCATTGGCTTCAATTGATT